GCGCTGTCATCAGTCGCGGGCGCCTCGAGCTGCAGCAGCAGTTTTGTCGGGAGCCCACGGAACTCTATCCAGCCTGGGCCGGGAGAGCGAGAGCCCAGCGCTTGGATGCCCCAGGGGCCGGGCCCCAAAACCCTGTTCTTCACTCTGCCGGACATCGGCGAGGAGTGGACCTCGGGCAGCAACGGCTCCGAGGATGGCGGAGAAGGGTTTGTAGAAGAGAGGGCCAGGAGAGCGGTCTTTTCTGAGAATTCTCCACCTCCACCTGTCACCCCCACCCAGCACTTTAGAAAGTGCCCTCTTTGCACTTTCCTTGGGACCTTATTTCTTGGCTTTTCCGTCTGTCTTTTCAAATATGGAAGTGCTTTTGCTCAACGTTCTCAGAATTTTCTGCTGATTACCAAGGAACAGGAAGGAGGGCTTGAAGGAAAGGACAGGATTTTATCTTCTCACAGAAGTACCCATGCTTAGATCTTTTGTAAGTCTGGTTTTCTCAAGGACATGAAAAGCCTTAAAGTTCTTTCTTTGCTGCAAACTGTGACAGGTGTGCAGGGTAACCGAATACACAGGTAGGCAGCAGCGACCTGATTTTGAGAAAGGTGAGACACTGGGCTTCCCCCCTTTCTAAGATCAGCCTGTCTTTATCCCAAGTGGGACAGGTTTCCTGCATGTGACATCTGGTTAATTTACATAGGTATAACATCATGGGACACAGATGAGACTTGTAATGCTCAGGGCACATCTGACCGTATTCCCTGGAGTGCTCCAGTTCCTGCCCTGGTGCCCTAAGTTACTACAGAAACGTTGACTGAATGATTTCACTGGGAATTGGAGGCTCTTCGCTCAACCCACACACACACCTTTCACTACCAAGAGCAATAAAAACACTGCTGTCGGGAACCAGCAGTTAGCGTAATGGCTATGTTGCTGGACTCCCATGTAGTAGGCCGCGGTTCGCGTCCCGGACCCAGTGGCTTAAAACTCAGGCTGGGCGCATGTGCGTGCGTGCTCAGGATCCCGAAAGGAGAATGGAGGAGAGGGGATTGCGGCGTGACCATCCCCCCTGGGGGGTGATTTCTCACATTCTGTCTCTATGTCTCTCTCTGTCTGTCTGGCGAGCGCATGTGCCCTATAGCGAAAATCTCTCAAAAACAAACAAACAAACAAACAAACAACAAAAAACCACTGCTCTCATAAAATAGGTATTTTAGAACTAAAGTGAATTTTTCTTTGAAATGAACAGAGCATAAACGAGCTGTTCTGACGTGGTTCCATGAATGTTCGTATCCCTAAATGTTACAAAGATGAGTGAAATGGTGAAAAGCAGGGTAGAGGAGCACATTAGAAAGGTAAGTGTCTCCATTGTCATCTAGGAAGGGGACAACAGTCAGGCCTGACGGCCCAGCCTTTCCTCAGTGCACTCCCACCCTGACCCCCAAAACTCTGGCTGGAGAACTTTTATGTTAAGACTGATTCTAGCTCATTCACAATCTAAATAACTACAATTTCACAAAACTGCATGACGTTCCAGTCATGCTTCTTTTCATGTCCAGCCAATGCTAAAATAAGCAGTTACGTAATATTGAGTTGTTCCCTTTCATTTAATCATAATGTATTTCAAATTATGCTTATCAACTGATATTTTTTTCCCCTAAGGAAAATTAAAAATGCTTGGAAAACTGGTCAACCCATACCTATGGAATTAGACCTTTGTAATTGGCAACTGGTCCTTAACATTTATGCAATCAATGTTTTATGAGCAAGCAGATCCACGCGCTGACCTTAAACGCCAGTCTTGGTACTTTAAATGAATAGACGCCGGAATATGCAGCATGGCCAGTGAAGAACTGATGTTCCCTTCAGTTCTTCAGCGTCTTAGTTCATGTTGATCTCTTACAAAAATTTGTAATAGGTACTTTCTGAATAACACCGTATTCGTCATTGTTTACAAAAGAGACTATTCTCTATCAGCAAATACGTCCAGTTTTGCTGAAAACCAAAAAAAAAAAAAAAAGAAGAATTTTAAATAATTGTCATGAGAAATACCATGCACAGACATATTCTCTCAGTAGTCTTCCTGACCATGAGTTCCTACTGTAACTGTCTGTGGCAGTAGGTAAAGTCCTGGACAGCTGCAGGGTAGCAAATGAACCATGGGAGCCCGTCCCATCTTTCCTTTTAGATACACAGATACTCTTATTCCCTTCCTGTCATCAGATCCTGTGCCTTTTTAAATCAGTAAAATGGAGAAGGGTTCTAGCTGTGGTAGTGCTGCAGTAGGACAAGGCTCTGCAATGCTGGGGGCCAGATGGAAGACCCGGGTTTGGTTCCCAGGTCAGTTTGTCCACACTGGGTGCAGGTGTGTGTGCCTGAAACCCTGGCTGGCTGGGAAAGGCCAGAGGTGAGGAGATCACAGCTAGAGATTCCACTGAGGGTGCTAGACTTTCTCTATAAATTAAAAAGTAAGCGTTAAAGTGTAAGAAGGGACAAATGGAGACGAGAGAAAGTATTTAAATAATTTTCCTTCAACAGACTTTGTGCACCTTGAAGTACATTGTTTTCTCTCCTGGATTTCTACCCTGGCTGTTTATAAGACTAAATAAACAAACATTGCAAGACCACGAATGTACACAGTCCCCCGATGATCTCGTCAATTTGAAGATCACTGTTGCTGTTCGCCTTCTTGGTTAATATTATAATCACATATTTATTTTTCAAAAGCCTAGAGACAGAGAGATGGTTAGCCTAGGCATAAGAAGGAAAATAGAGTGACTAGAGAGAATGGCATGCATGTCAGACAAATGGAAAGGTATTTAGACAAGCGTAAATGAGGACACTCAATTAGAAAGGAGCTGTTAATTGTGGTTAACAGTGTATACTTTCCTGAAGATGCCCCATTTACTTCACAGTTGTCTGCTTCTGGACTTCATCTTTTAAAACTGCAAATAATGAAATTTAAGTGAGAACATTTGCAAACTCTCTCGCAATTCGGAGGCTTCTTTCTCCACGCAGGTGCTGAGTAGCAGCATGAGTTTTGATCTCTGACCCATGGACTCAGAAAGGGCACGGCCCTTGGAAAAGAGACTTGCTGTTTCCTTTCCATGGGGCACAGTGGTTTCTCCACCCCAACCAAAGGTGAAGGGTATTGAGTTCTCGCTCTTTACCTTACGGTCGTGCACCCCAGACATGTGATCCCACAGTTTTATCTTCACCTTCTCTTTCCCGTGCATTTCACTTAGACATTGTCCCTCGCTTACTCATCCTGCTTCACTACCTCTTTTTGCACTTTTGGTTTGAGCTGCACAAGGATCAACTCCTAAAGATCTTTGTCTCGGTTTGTTCTGCAAACATAAGAATTCTTTTTTTTTTTGGAGAGGTTTTTGCTATAGGGCACATGCGCTCACCAGAAAGACAAGAGACAGAGAGACAGAAAGCGAGAAATCACCCCCCAGAGGGGATGGCCAAGCCGCAATCCCTTCTCCTCCATTCTCCTCTCGGGATCTTGGGCATGCACACACACGCGCCTGGCGTGAGTTTAAGCCGCAGGGTCCGGGAGTCCCGGACCCGTACTACATGGAAGTTCATCAGCGACTACATAAATACCTTTTCTTTTGTCTGACATGCATGCCATTCTCTCTAGTCACTCTATTTTCCTTCTTATGCCTAGGCTAACCATCTCTCTGTCTCTAGGCTTTTGAAAAATAAATATGTGATTATAATATTAACCAAGAAGGCTAACAGCAACAGTGATCTTCAAATTGACATTATGCTAACTGCTGGTCCCCAAATATAAGAATTCTTAAGCAGAAATAGATAATAATTATAATGGATATTGGTAGACTGTATGCTTCTTGGGATCAGAAAGTATCTGTATCTTTTGTAAATTAAAGCTGTTACCATATAGGTACTAATTCCTTTTTAGAGTAATTGAGTTTCCTCGTTAAAATCAGGTTAGAGTGGAAACACTGCAGTAGCTGCCTGAAGGATTCGTCAGCTTGACTGACAGGTGGTGGTTTGGTTAAGGTCCTACATTTTTACATGGCCAACTACTGCTCAGTCTCAGACCCAGCAGCTTGGAAATCATGCCAGGCATGTGCGTGTGTGTGTGTGTGTGTGTGTGTGTGTGTGTGTGCGTGCATGCCCAAAATCCCCAGAGGAGAATGGAGGAGAAGGGATTGCAGCATGGCCATTTCCCCTAGGGGATGATTTCTTGCCTTTTTTCTCTCTGTCTCTCTCTGGCAATCTCGTGCACTCTATGGCAAAAACAAACAAAAAAGAATAATTGTTGTCTTTGGCCTTTTGTTTCATTGTCTTGGAGTTTTCCCAAAGTTTAGTAATGCTTTTCACTGGGACTTTGCATAGCCATAGGGATGAATGGTGACCTAAGAATATAATTGTTATATGACTGTTACTTCTTATTACAATAACATGACCATTCCTTTTATTAAAGATAGTAATGAAGGGGCCAGCAGATGGCATAGCAGTTATGTCATTGGGCTCCCACATGGCCGACTGAGGTGGAGGAGAATGGAGAAGAGACTGGAATGGCCATCCCTCCTGGGGACTGATTTCTCACTTGCCCTCTCACAGTATCTAAATCTCTGTCTCGCCAGCAAGCACACACACCCTAAGGCAAAAACCTCAAAAAAGAAAAATAAATAGTAATGACCTTGACTTGGTTTTACAGTTCTAGGAATAGACTTGGAAGTTTGCTTGCTTAATCCCCAGGAAACAAGTTTGTTCTTACTGTCTTAGGCAGTAGTCTTTTGGAACTTTAAATGACTTTTTAAAAAAAAAAAATTATATTCAAATTTTTGAAAATTGTATTTGAGCTAGTGGCTACATGTTTTTCTGCTATGTATTTAAAAACACTATTTGAATTTTTAAAACGTAATAGCCAACATGTGTAAGACTTGCTATGTGGAAAGTACGTAACAACAGTCCCTCAATGTGATTCGGTTCTATCTGAATCCTGTGGAGTTGAATATTCATAACAGCTTATTTAAATGAGTATGGCTTTTAAAGCATAGACTGAAGTCAGATAGAATTTAATTCAAATTCCACTTTATAATTTCTCTTAGAATGCTGAGAATACTAAGTTAGCATTCACATTTGGTACCTTAAATTTTTTTTTTTTTTTTTTGGAGAGGTTTTCGCTATAGGGCGCGTGCTCTCACCAGACAGACAGAGACAGAGAGACAGAAAGCGA